ACCAAGGTTCGGACATCAGCATGGCTAATGCCTGTAACTACTCTCCGTCTGGATCACCTGATGTAAATATTAGGGACTTTTAGTTTTGCAAGTTGAAATAGTGGGCTGCTACGTGTGACGTCCTTTTAAGGCGGTGGCAGTGCTTTAAAAGGACGTCCCAGTGCCTGAAAAGGACGTCACATGTAGCAGTCTACTATGTCGACGTGCAAAGTCCCAATTCACCGAATCCGAGAGCTCAACATGGAAGGGCGCACGAGCGGTTAATCGTGCAGCGAGAAGGCGACTTGCTTGAATTGAAGAAAAAAATGCGCCTTATTTAAGTCGAGAAGACGATAAAGTGGTTGAATATGTCATCTTCTCACCTTCTCTTTATTAACAAGACGTCTTGGCGAGTATTAACAAGTCACCTTCTCGCCTTCTTGACTTAAACAAGGAGTCCTGTCGAGTTCAGTTACCTTCTCTCCTTCGATCTCGGCTGAAACGAGGCGCCGGCCAAGTTTTGACAAGTCGCTCTCTCGGGGTAGGGGGAGAGGGGTAGGGGAGAGGGGGAGGGCGAGAGGGGGAGGGGGAGAGGGGGAGGGGGAGAGGGGGACGGGAGGGGTGGGAGGGGTGGGAAGGGAAGGGGCGGAAAGGGGGGTGCATCGAGTTCGCTCAATAAAAGTTTGACCTATCATGATAAAAACATTTTCCTGCTTTAGTTCCCTGACTAAAGGAATAATCTGTTGTTATGCTCTTGGATGGCTCCCATCTAGCTCTGGTGGCAAAGAACTACAATGCTCCCCAAAACCATGGAAAGAGAATCGGTCCATACAAGTCTGGTAGTCTATCGATATTTTTCGTTTTTTTCATTTTACATTTAGGATGCTATTTTTCTTTAACAATCAGTGTCCTTCCCCTGCAGAGAAGTGCCCCCACTTCGTCTCTCATAGGTAGCTATTCAAAAATGAGAAGTGCCCCTTTTACTACTGATGAGTCCCTCTGCAGTTTTCCTTTCTAATGAGTGCCCCTTTCCGGTTCTGAGAAGTGCACTCTTTTACTACTGTAAAGTTCCCCTTTTCCTTTATAATGAGTGTTTCTCCTTTAAATCAATTGAATTGGGCTTAGTGTCCCTTTTCACATGTGATAAGATCCTTTTGACAAATCTGGTAAACGTTAAGAAAAATTCAAAACAAATCAGTCATATTGCAAAGAGGCATTATTACAACAGGGACTATGACAAGAATTTTCCTCCCTAATTTAACCAAGTGAGAGCACTATTTTGTGAAATTACCTCAAAGCTGTTTTGCTACACTCGCCCGCATTTATTTATTCCATGCAATTATGTTATTAATCTTGAATTTCCAGTTCATTGTTTTGATTCGCTCGCTCGCAAAAGAATTATTAAGTTCATTGCAAACAACGGCAACTTAAAAAGGAAATAAAAAGGAAAACGGCGAAAGGAGAAAAGCAATACAATATTGGCGATCCTTAGAACTATTAACTAAATTTAGGGATACACATGTTTACGCAATTATATTTCCGCATAGCGGTTACACTTTGTAGGTACCCCATCTTCCCTGAAGACTTTCTACTACCCCCCCCCCTTCCCTTTGAAAGACGTCTCGTCACCCTGTGCACTATTTATCTTTTGTACATTGCTTCTTGCTCTTAGGTTATCACGGTCGGAGGGTCGAGAAACCGTATGAATGGCGCGAGCGATGATCGTATCGGAATCTCCAATTACGGTCCTTGTGTCGACATCTACGCCCCAGCAAGAAATATCGACCTTGCTGCCCCTTCCGGAAGCAGTAATTCCAACTACCTAAGATCATCCGGCACCTCCTTTGCAACCCCTGCGGTGGCAGGTATGAAAATCAATAATAAATAATTAAGACAATCATAATTATAATCATAATTATGATCATAATAATCATATTAAAAGTAATAATAATAATTAATGAAAATAATGAGGCAAAGGTTGCAGTCGGGTTTTAGGTAAGAGGTATGATTAAACCTAACTAAAAACTTCAAATGTTTGGTCCAGGGTTGAAGTTATGAATTCGGTTAGTATGGTAAAGGTAAAGGAATGTCCTCGGATTAGTACAGCAACAAAATGATTTTTGTCGCAGAATGTAACTAATGTTGATGCGTGGTTAACATGTGCGCTATAAAATATCTATTAGGCCTCCAATTTAAACTAGTATTATAATTCATATCATTATTATTATTATTATTATTATTATTATTATTATTATTATCGTTATTATTACTCCTATTATTATCATATCTTTAACGGTTGGTGTACCTAGGTGCTGCCGCCATGATTCTGTCCACCACTAGCTTGACACCTACTGGGAGTGAGACAATGACCGATCTCGTCCTGGACATCCTTATTGCGACAAGTGCCAAGGACAAGCTGACGAGTCTTCCAGCTAGCAACGCCGCGGTTTTACCCTCCTTTAACCGCCTTCTAAACGTTGTCAGCAATACTTACTACGCATAAACCCCCGGTGGGTGTAGTTGGTGATGACAATGTACCATGGTGATTGACATTGTCAATATCATCGTCTTTGTCAGTGACGTCGTCATTGGAACCCTGGTAGAAGACAACCTATAGTTTAAATTGATTTATAGCTGATTGAAAAAATGATGAAGTAATATAAGTGACGGTATCAAACGTTTCTATCTTTTATTTAAATGAAAATTTCGTTTGATGTTCTCGATATTATTGGTGGTTAGTTTTCGTTTCTTGTTAGAACTGTTTTAACCTAATCTTTCTTCTCATGTCCACCTCATGTCATTAAGTTTATCATGATATCACAAATACTTATTTGAAGAAAAAAAACTACTGCAGCATAACCATTTCTTTATTCGGGGGGGGGGGGGGTCGGTGAGGCTTGGGCAATTCTGTTATTCACAGGATCATTTACAAGTATCTTCATTTCTAGATTAGAGTATGTAGTTTTTAGTAATCCATATCTGTAACAACCACAATATAAACATTCACTGGCAATTCGATTTTGGACCTTTGGCGTATTTTCTTTTAGTGCTGTGCGCGTCTCGAAAATATACCACTTAGGGAATATAAGCTCTTTATATTCCCCACCCCAGGACTATGTATATCATGTTCACTGTTAGATAACAATGTATTTTGTCCTATCTCCAGTGGCATAGGTTTTGCTCTACATTCTGTCCCCTTTTCTTTACCATGTATTCTAAATATTGAAAATTAAGCTATGAAATGATGATAATAAACGAATGATATTGTTAGTAAGCATATATTTCTTGTTTTTCTAGTTTCTTGTTTTTCTAAGTTAATCGAAGTGCAACCCATCAAGAACCTTTAAAGGTACTATGTCCCTTTTGCAGCCAACCTCAAATTCTGTAGAACTTTGCAGGAATTATGAATATGTCACGTATGTCCTATCTGTGAAATTTGAACGTTAGCAGTGTCCTAATATTCAAATTATGCAAGGAAACCCGTGTACTTGCTAGACTTCACTGTCAGACACTATTGAGTGACTGACTAGCTTTTTTCTTCTTTGGTAATAACATAAATAAAATGAGCTGTAAAGGGTACATGAGCATTTGTCTACACCAATAACCCACTTCTTGTGATGGCCAAAATTAAACTGATTGAATCTTTGCGCAGCATAAAACGTATGACCATTCGGTACAATGGTCCGAAAATCAAGACTATTACTTATTGGCTCTGTAGCTCCTAAGTCGATTTGACAACTAATAGTCGTTATTTTCCCACTTGAAGACATTTTCAAGCCCCACCTTTTTTAGGGAAGTTCTAAATTAGTATTATCTTTCAAATGCCGTTGGAATTTAACCTTTTCATTTTTTGGGCCTGCAAATGGGACATAGTACCTTTAAAGGATTTAATACAAAAATATTCCTGATGTTTGCGAATGCCAAAAGGATTATAATGAGAGGGAGAGATAGATATATAGAAAGAGGAAGAGAGGGGAGAAAGAGAAAGAGAAAGAGAAAGAGATAGAGAGGGGGAGGGGAGACAAAAGAAGAGAGAGGGGAGGGGAGAGAGAGAGAGACATTGCATTGTCTATTTTCGCACCCCTACCCTCTCTCTCTCACACACACATACACACACATTGTATTTGTATGTCTCTTTGTCTCTCTCTCTCTCTCCAACACACACACACACGCGCGCGCTCTCTCTTTCTCTCTCTCTCTTGTTCTTTCTCTTTTCCTCCTCCTCTCTCTCTTCTCTTTTTAGCTCTCTATAATTTTCTCCAATCTCTTCCATCCTCCCCCCCCCCCCACACACACACACGCGTCAAGAGCCTACCTTACCCCTTTTGACCCATTACTTAGGCCATGGACGACAAGTCCCCCGCTTATATGGTTAGTGGGAGAAAATGGTTGTCGGTCCACAGAGCCCCCCCCCCCCGAACAGACCCAGATTCGGATTTCACCCTAAGTTTAGCCCATGCAACAAACTTTGTCAAAAGAAAGCACTATCACTGTATACAATTAACGGTCAGACGCCCCTAAAATTGGGTTTATATTTTTTGGCATTGATTTAGCATGGACCAACTATGTCCGAAGAAAGAAGTCTATGATATATTAAAAAAGCTAACAAAGAGTTTCCATGGTTATTGAGAGAGTGTCAGAAACCAAGTAAGCTCCTCTATTTTGTTCTTTAATAGGTAAAGATGTTCAAACTTTTTGTTACATTGTATGAAAGAAATGATCATGTGACACCGAGAAATTTAAAACAGCACTCAATAATTACACTACGCGAATTTGAGTAATAAGATAAATAAAGCACTTTTGATTTATCAAGACTGGAAAGCCTTCAAGAACGTTTTGGTAAGGGGAACTTTGATATTTCCTTTTCCCAGATCTAAAAAAAACTGAAAATCGTTTAGTGATTGTACCACCGTAACAATTTTGTTGTTTGTAATACATAGTGAAACTTTATTTTGACAACATGTTGTGCATAAAATTTAATTCAGGACAGAATCATAAGACAATTCGTGAGTCTATAAATGTGAGTTTAAATCATGAATCCTTTATTTTGATATATGTATATTTGTCTTTAAGCACGATAATCATACGTCAATTTGAAAAACACAATATACGCATCGTGTAACAATCATAAATGTTAAATCATAGTCACTTAGCAGTGTCATGATTGTGCCTTTACATAGTTACTGCCAGTGCTCTTTTACATTTAACTCACATTTAAGAGATATTTCATGTATATCAAGAAAATGATTTAATACCACATTACTACGAAGGACCTACACAAGGAAGACCGAGAACCTAAAACAGTATTCCAATGACAAGGGTTCATCGGATCTATACCTTTACAACATAAGTTACTTGACTTTATATAAAGCAATTTAACAGAGGAGTTAAACGAAATGTTATGGATCACATACTATTTGTAATACCAACTGTTTATACATAATTTTGAAAACGGAAAATTCACAGACTTCAAAATGACGATAATGAAAAAAGTATATTCCAAATTAATTATATGCAATTTAATATCGATAGAGACGTGACCGAAAGTCCACGAGACCGTAAATAACTTTACGAGACCAGCTTTGTAGTCTCGTGACCCTTCAAAATTCAAGAACTTTGGGCTCTCGTCGACTTTCAGCCCAATTGGCCTAAAGTAGCCTCAATATACTCTTCTTTTAACCCTGACAACACAATCAATTTTGTTTTACACATAAACATTTGATATGCACTGATTAATCTGGTATTGGATCAATAACACGAAACAGTCATGAAAATATCAATGTAAATCTGATATTAAACATAGCTTCACTTTTACAAACATCGATTTATAAGAAGATTTTTCTTTTAAAAAGACCATTTTATAGGGAATGGCACGATAAACACATACAATTAAATAATTAGAGTTAGAGTTTTAAATTAGAAGTTGCATTGTACGTTAGGGATAAAAGAGGGATAAAAGGTAGATAATTATACAGTATGTATATATGCTTACATTTCAAAGATACATAAATCAAGTATATAACAAATTATTAGACATTTATTATGTATTAGCCATTAGTGCATTTGATTAGAGTTTTAGTTATTCATAGTTTAAAACAAATATTAATAACATACAAATAGCAGCAGCAATATTAGTTAGCAGCGCTGTTGATTAAAACATGTTATTTAGTAATTCAACTTGCAAGGCAATACTGATTATACATCACATAACCATGGCATACGGATATTAAGCAATTCATATAATACTACGTCAAATTAGTATTAGTACTAAATTATACAAAATGAGTTGAAATGGTATATTTAATGTATGATACATTAACAGTATAATGGTTCATTACAGTGATGTTAGTAGTGCTGCTTAGTGTTGGTTATAAATGTATCATGGGTATTAGAAAATCAGTATTGTTATTAGAATATCGTCATTAGGAAATCATATTGTTTTAATGCAATTAAGTTGAAATAATACATGTTGGTGACACACCTTAAAGAATATGGAAAGTAAATGGAATTACATAGCAAGTGAGATTTAAACATATATGAAAATTACGAGGATAAATACGTACATTTAAATTATGAAAATAAATATTTAAAAATAGAAATATGATTATCTTCGCTGAAAAGGAATTTTACAATTATAATTCGTATATTAAATATGCTAACATTTTGCTTGACGTACATTAATTTGATTATGTTAACAAAATATTCAAATAATGCATCCATGCAGAGTGCTATATAAAAGCACCTAATACAGTGTTATTCTCTCTCACTTAAAACTGCCTCCAATGTCTCGAATGTTTGTAGATGTACATCATTGAAAATAACTAATGCAGAATCCTCTTTCAAGCAACAGTTTATGACATTATTTTGGTTGTGCAAGATTCAAAGCTTTCTTTCAAATTTATTTCATTTTTGGCTTCTCCCTTGTTCGTGCGTGGGCGTCGAAGTCCTGATATTTTTTGTGTGAAGAGCAGTTGTCATTGACATGGATGTCTAGCTTGTAGCTCATGTTTGCATCTGCAGACTTAAATTGTGATCTCTGGGAAGCATCTAAGATTACAGTTCACTCGTCGTCTTCTTAGCAGCGAAGAGACAAAGGGTGTATCATCTTGCTGTACATAAAATTATGGGAAAAAATAAAAAGAGATACCAGATTATATGATAATCACTGTCACTTGCGATGTAGAATATCATCCAGTATTAGAAAAATGCAATCAACGCGAAATACACCACTATGATTTAAATACATCCCCATTTACGTGCAATATGCTTGAAACAGCAGAAGACAGACATATTTCAATGACTTTAGCAAAGCTCAGTTTTCTCGTTATAAGTTTAATTATTGCCCACAACAAGACAACGAAAATGAATAGACATTGGATGAACAGATAAACTGGTCATCTACCCACTAGGTGTATTGCACAAGACGTGGACATGAAACTAAATAAAGATATTCGTTAAAATATTATTAGAAACTTAAATATGTAAGAAGAGTTGACAACGAAGAGAATATCAAATTATAATTATGAGACAAAAAACAAAAGATTCATATCGTTATACTTACTATATCTCCGGAGCTATCACTTGGTAGTCGCCCCGGCTCGGTCGTCTTTACCGTGGTAAAGATCCGGTTGCCGTCCATGCCGTCGCCCTGGTAGGCTCCATCCTGATGATCATCGTTGCCGTCATCTTGTTCGTTGCTCTGGTTGCCATCACCCTGGTAGTCACCCTGGCCGCCGCCCTTCTTCCCTCGCTGAAAATGTAAACGAATAGGCACTGTTATAATCCTGTATAATTAACATGTGTGATTTACTGGTGGAAAATGATGACCTAACGGCTACGGCTTCGATTTTCGCCAATCATGGATTAAAGACTTGCATTAATTATGTTAAGCTTATTAAGCTCTAGTTTGTACGGAAGCGTTAAAGTGCCATTCTACTTGACGACATGACGAGATATTTCATCTTGTCAAGTCGACTTAATATCCATATCATGTCGACATGTAAAGATATTTAACCTACCATGTCGACTTATCAACTTTTATTAGTCGACATGGCGAAATAAATTATCTTGCCAAGTCGACTTCACAAAAAGTTCATGTTGTCATGGCGACATAAGTTATTTTACCAAGTCGACTTCTACAAAAATACATGTCGCCATGGCGACATATATTATCTTACCAAGTCGACTACCCAAAAAGTAATGTCGACATGGCGAAATAAATTATCTTGCCAAGTCGACTTCACAAAAAGTTCATGTCGTCATGGCGACATGTATTATCTTGCCAAGTCGACTTCACAAAAAAGTTCATCTCGTAATAGCGACATAAATTATCTCACCAAGTCGTTTTCCCAAAAAGTATATGTCGTCATGGCGAGATATGTAGTGTGACGACTATTTCATGCAGCGCGCGTACGTGATTGCACTTAACTGTAATTCTTAAAACTGACTCCACGTGATCATTTATGTCGCCAAGACGACATCTACTGTTATTAAGTCGACTTGGTAACATATTTTATCTCGCCATGACAACATGTACTTCTTACGAAGTCGACTTGGCAAGATATTTTTATTTCGCCATGACGACATATACTTTTTGGGAAGTCGACTTGGTAAGATAATTTATGTCGCCATGACGACATGAACTTTATGCGAAGTCAACTTGGCAAGATAACTTATGTCGCCATGACGACATGAACTTTTTGTGAAGTCGACTTGGCAACATAATTTATTTCGCCATGTCGACTAATAAAAGTTGATAAGTCGACATGGTAAGTTAAATATTTTTACATGTCGACATGATATGAATATTAAGTCAACTTGACAAGATGGAATATCTCGTCATGTCGTCAAGTAGAATGGCACTTTAACGCTTCCGTAAGTTTGACAGCCTTTGAAATACAACAATGAAAATATTGGAATTAGGAAATAATTTTCGAGAATTGCAGTGTAGTTGGAAAAGGTCAGAACAAGTAGGTCTCAAAATGCGGATTTCAAAATATCAAACGCAATTGTATTCCACTTCAAAGATAATTTCCATCAAGTTTCTTTTATTTCGATAACACCATTAATTTCCGATAATCCTGCTCTATTACATACCTGGTTACTACCGTGGTCGCCATCAGTCTCGTAATCGCTTGCTCACCATCACCATAGTCGTAACCTGGTAGCCGTCGTGGTCGCTCTGTAGGTCACCTTCTTCGCTACATCGTTGTCGTATCCCTGGTAAAATTGAAATTTTATTACGTTGATTCTGCGGCTATAAAGAATAATACTAGGAAAGAGCTAGAATGAGATCTCTTAGAACAGAATTAGAAATCTCGATCTCGCTGCACCTCTATTCCGAAAGGCTTTGTTGAAAAGAGGCTACAACATATTCCACTATATCTTGCTCTTCTGTAACAATTTACTTTTAAAGGGTTATTATTAATGTCCTTTTTCTGCAGGTTCATTACTCCAAAGCTTCATTGATCCGAAGTTTTAATAAATCTAATTGCTTGTTATTCGGAAGGTTCATCATTAAAAGCATAATTACATAATTATAAAATGTATATACAGATCGAGCGCTATATCATTTCCGGAAAATACAAACCAACAGGTCGTAGCTGCTCTACTCACCATCGCCTCGGTTCGTCAGCTCGTCGCCTGGTGGCCATGTTTGTCACATAGTATGAGCCTATATACAAGTTGTATCCCTGGCAGTCGTTCTCTTTCCCTTCCAGTAATCTAAAGGATTGAACAACATTCCAATACTTATGAATTTTATGAATACGTCATAATATAAGCAGATGTGGTATTTTTTCCTCACCCCCTCCCCCATTATTATTCTTTCCATTTGGTTATAATTATTTGGCCCTGTTTTTCATTCCAATTAATATATGCTTTTCATACTTCTTTCTAATTTGTAGCCTTTTATCTCTTCACTTATCTCTTCATAGTAGTTTTAAGCAGATCACCAAACTGTCCCCTAGTGTTTATAAATATATGCAAATAATTCATTATATATCTTTATATCTCTATATAATCATTCAAGTCGTGATATACAACAAACATCCATAAAGCTTCTGTGGCCGTATTGCCTCTGCTTTTGGTATTAACTTCGACATATGAAATTTGCTTAATTTCCTTACTTTACTTTTTGACAATGAAATTTGCTTAATTTCCTTACTTTACTTTTTGACAATGAAATTATCATTAATTTGTCAGTACTTACCTGTTGATACTTACCCATTTATGAACATGTAAACATTTTCATATTTAATAGCATGCAGATGTCGACGTAGGGTTTGAATCCACGTCGAGGCGTTAATGTCGTTTACATTTTGCCCTCGGAGATCTGAAAAACAATAATTATTGGTGAGACTTTGTTGCCGACACGGAGATCTAAAAACAATAATTATTGGTTAGACCTCGTTGCCGACACGGAAATCTGAAAAACAATCATTATTGGTGAGACTTCGTTGCCGACACGAAGAACTGAAAAACAGTAAATATTGGTGAGACTTCGTTGTCGACACGGAGATCTGAAAACGATTATTATTGGTGAGACTGAAAACGATGATCTGAAAACAATACATATTGGCCAGACTTCGTTGCTAAAATGGAGATCTGAAAAACAATAATTATTGGTGAGACTTCGTTGCCGACACGGAGATCTGAAAACAGCGAGACTACGTTGCCGGTACGATGATCTGAAAACAATTATTGGTGAGACTTCGTTGCCGATACGGAAATTCAAAAATAATAGTTATTGGTGAGACTTTGTTGCCGATACGGAGATCTGAAAAACAATTATTATTGGTGAGACTTCGTTGCCGACACGGAGATCTGAAAAACAATTATTATTGGTGAGACTTCATTGCCGACACGGAGATCTGAAAACGATTATTATTGGTGAGACTGAAAACGATGATCTGAAAACAATACATATTGGCCAGACTTCGTTGCTAAAATGGAGATCTGAAAAACAATAATTATTGGTGAGACGTCGTTGCCAACACGGAGATCTGAAAAACAATTATTATTGGTGAGACTTCGTTGCCGATACGGAGATCTGAAAAATGCGAGACTACGTTGCCAAAACGATGATCTGAAAACAATTATTGGTGAGACTTCGTTTCCGATACGGAGATCTGAAAAACAATTATTTTTGGTGAGACGGCGTTGCCATGACGGTGACCTGAACAAAATATTATTGGCGAGACTTCGTTGCCGACACGGAGATCTGAAAACAATAATTATTGGTGAAACTTCGTGGCCGATACGAAGATCTGAAAAATAATTATTATTGGTGAGACTTCGTTGCCGACACGGAGATCTGAAAATAATAATTATTGGCCAGACTTGAGATGTTTAATGAAGGTCATGACCTTTCGATTTCACTTCAGCAATTCCGATATGATATTGCTTTTCTTTGAATTATCTTGTCTTGCAAATATTTTTGTTTTGCAAGTACATGTAAACAAATATTGCTTGGAACAACTGTAGAATACCCCGCCATACAAATAACCCTACCCTGATCCTATATCTAGTCCTAATCATAACCCTCACCCTAACCCTAACTCTAACCAGGAGGGAAGCTCAGCCTAAAACTATATTCTACTGATGCGTGGTATAGAGTATTCTGCAGTTGATACCACAAATTTATCTACCCAATACTGTACCGATATCAATCCTACCATTAATGATACAATTTCTGATACAATGATCAAATCAGTCATTACCTATTAATCATTTATTTATCCTTGTCTAATGCTGGGATAGCATACTATTTTTGTATCTATAAAAATCTTCTAATTCTAATTATAAATCTATGCTTCTTCGTATTATCATTAATCACCGATTACCTAATCATTTATCAAATTATTAATCATAAATTATCAGCTCCTAAGGCTAGGTTATCAATCTCTCTATGAAATATCTACTTTGTCATTTAGACCTATTATTCTACTTCATGATAACTGGAATTTTTCATTTTTACTGCTTAAAATTATGCCTTACTACATTTATTGTAGTTCTTTTATTCTATATTTTGAATTAAATCGATACATATATAACGTAAAAGCATAGTTTACTGAAACAATAACACAATATCTTATGCCTTACTTTATTGTGTAATAGTACACAAATCTATTGATATCGGTACAGTATTGTGTAGGCAATGATTTGCATATGATCAGGAAAGACCAGAGTAAAATAGCGGATCGCAAAATCTTCATAAATTGACTGTGCACATCGATGCTATTTAACAGTATTTCTATTAAGTAATAATCTAATAATATCCATTAGGTCTAAAAATATTTATTTCACCAAATCCACCGTAATATCACGATAAATATACCAATAAAAGTAATTCAATAAAAATCAAATCAAATATGAAGACGAAAATAATTCATGTTAAAATTCCAAAGTAAGTATAATAATATCTTACCATACTTACAATAGAAGATATTCTGGATTTTGAATCTTAGTTAAAAAATTGATGGGTGTTTCTTCTCACACAGATACCAATCGCTTGAAGAACGTTGACGCGATGTGACGTGTTCGCAAAGAATAGGAAGTTTATAGTTTGTCCATTTCCAACCCAACAATCTTCGTGATAATGGAATCTACAATATTCTAAGATGGGTAAAGGTAGATTAAAACTTGGCCCTTACACTACTTTAATATTAATTAAGGGCCTATGTGTATCAATGTTGTCCTAACGTTTAGATTTGGCCAAGCTCAAACCCATCCTGACCCATCTCAGTGAATTATAGAGCTCCATTAAGATCACAAGTGATATTGCTGAATTCTCTGCAGACAACTTTCACTTACCCCGACATCTAGTTGTTCAGTCTCAGCATTCTCCGGTTCAGTCTGGCAGGAATATAATCCAAATGATTGAATATCCATCCAACAAATATTTCCTTGCACACACAATAAATGGGATCCAATAGAATTCCTCAGGCAATCGTCGATTCAGGTCCAATATACATTATTCATAAATAAGTGTTCAGCAATGTTATTCCATATCGTGTTCTTGGTAGTAGAAATCGTCAAAGTTTGCATTTAATCTTGAAGCCTTTCTGCACGTCACAGACCAATCAACAAACCTTTTGCAAGGTTCGAATCAGTCAGGACGATATTTGGCTTTGGCGGAATCTGTAGACGATTTTGATATCAGGCCCTTCTTAGTTATGCTTTCCTCAGTTAATGGTGATATATGAAAGAATGGTTCATCTTATTGCCAGTTTCCATATCTGTCGATATCTGTCAGCTTCTGAAGCACGCGTCGAAATGTTCACATGGAGATAGATAATTGAAAATTTAGCAAATACGCAATTTACGTCGGTGCTGTTTATCAAGTTTGAGGGCCTGTTCCTGAATTGAACATATTATGAAGTCACAGGACCTTCGAACTGTATATTTCAGCTGAAGAGATGGCGTTTGGATTTCAAAGTATGTTGAAACATGCAACATGTGTCTCGAATGTCCCGAATGTCGAAAAGAGTCCTGAGAATTGTGTTGCAGAAAAGTCCAATCATCGTTGTCGAAAATCCAATCGTAGCGATAACATATACCGTGGACACGGGCTAAATCACACTCAGTCCTTAATGTCCAGAAAAGAGTTCAAACGTGATTTATTTGTGCCGAATAGATGATAGATTCAGAAGTTGGTTGAATGCAGTCACAAAAAGCCCAGTGCCTTGGATTAGTACAGGTTAATGTCTCCACGTTGCAGCAAGTCCACTTGTGTCAATAACCATGCACTGTCCAAGGGACATCCTTTTTTTCATAACAAGAAGTTCATATCGAGAAAGAACGTCGAAGAGGTTAAACTCGAGATGGAAGTCCCGGGTTGGGGCATTGCATTCCCGATCGATGTGCGTGGCGAGACCCATTGGCTTGAAGAAGATGTTCCTGTATCAGTTCGGTCTCATCCTCTACCTGTATACATGGCATGAAAATATAATAAAAGCCAATCAAAATGTAATAAAAGCCAATGAAATTCATTTAATATATTTAATCGAAAAATGAAATGGTTAAATTTAATAACCGGTTTACTAACACATTTTCATTTATGGATGTTTCTTTCCTGGGGACCTAGTGACGAATTATTCCATTAACCTGTTATTAATGAATGAACTACAATACTTGAAATTCAGTCTGCATACATTATGTGTTGCTATATCAGGCAAGCTTTCTGGTTGCTAAAACAACGTTTGTTTATAAAGTATGCATAACATTTGAATATGTTAGTAAACCGGTCTATAACAATGATGCCAACAGGCTCTCAAAAGTTGGGGGCACTTTATGAGGGAGTTAGGGTGTGGAAGGGGTAGCCCCCAAGAATATGTCTATTTGGGGTTATAAAGAAGCATTTCAATGCACTATGGAGAAAGAAAAACCGCTCAAGGTACCACAAACTTTAAAAGGAGAGGATATAGAACAGTGTACGTTTCTATTTCCCATCTCGTATTGTTTGTAAATTCTTGAGATAGAATTCGATATGATTTTTTGCAAGATAAGGAATTGGCTACATAATTTTTTGACAGAATGGTTCGCAAGATAACATGGGTATAGACTGAATTTAAAGTATATTTCGAATTACAGTTTTCTTTATTAGGCTTTAGCTACTTGAATGTACGTGAACCCAATTCCATCTGGCTCCATAACCTAGAACTGTCAGATAATTAAGAGAAACTGCCCATGATTTATAATATTTTTACATTAATTTAATCTATCAATAGTTTTCTTAATTAACCGTGACTGTAGAGTCAGGTAAAAGTTTCTGGTCTTTGTCAGAATTGTTTTCAGTGGTGCCTTGCCCCCTTGAAATATGCTACTTAAACGCCTTAACCTATTTGATGTTATCTTCTAGATCTTTTTTTCTTCTTAAGATCTATTGACAAAGGCTTAGGAGGTAAAGTATATCAAACTGAACTTACCAAATTGAGTGCCTCAGAAAGGTTTAAGCTGTCCCCTGGATGTCAGTTTTTGGAGAGACGTCGTTGCCGATACGGAGACCTAAAAACAATAGTTATTGTTGAGACTTCGTTGCCGATACGGAGACCTGAAAACAAAAGTTATTGGTGAAACTTTGTTGCCAATACGGAAATCTGAAAAACAATAGTTATTGGTGAGAATTCGTTGCCGACACGGAG